CGGGGCGGGGGGCCCAGCGATTCCCTTCCTATTTATTCTCTTCGTACGTATTCCGTGATCACTTTATGCATTATTTAGAACTGACTCTCCATCTTTTGCCCTCAACCCTGCCCTTTTAGCCACCTAGGCCTCGTCACGCCCTTACCAGCAGAGACGAGAGGGGCGTTTTCACGCGGCAGAGGGTGATTTTTGCCTTTTCGCGTTGTTTTTCGCACAGGTCAGCGCTGGGCCTGCTCGCCAAGGCCCCCGCGAGGCCCGTGCACACCACGCTGGCCTGTCGCGGCCTCGAGGAGTTCTTCGATGACCCGAAGAACTGGGGAGAGAAAAGCGTCAAGTCCGGTGAGTTCTGCAGCGCCTTCCCGCTAGGGCCTCGGGGGACGTCTGGGCTTCTGCCCCGTCAGAGTGTTCATTAATGACAAAACTTACAAATATATGTGTGGCTTGCATATGTTTATGTGCCCACACATCCTTAGGCTTGTTAACTTCCTTATCTTTGTCTATTTTGTGCTTATACAAGCACGAAATTCAGGATTAACTACCTGTCTTGCCCTTACGTGGTACTAGCTCCCAAGTAGAAGCATTTTTAATTTCATTCCCAGCAGTATATTTAAACAATCTCATCTAATTATTTAATCCTATAGCTTACATGTACTTGAATTGAGTAAAATTCAGTATAAACAAGGATAGTTTTTCAAGAGGTAATATTTTTTAATTAATTAGTAGATCCTAATTATTGAGCTATCAGGGTCTGCAGAAGAAGGATACTTTTGCAGAAAAACAACTCAATGCTATTGGACTGAATTGTCTTTTTGGTAACTTACAGGAGATGCATGGGATGTAAAGCAGCTCAGGGGCAAAAGTAGTGAAGATTTGCACAAACTTTGGTAAGTAACTTCAGTGAAATAACATTTTTTTTTTAAAGCAACTGTTGAGATTTTATGAAAATGTGACTGCATTTATCAGTAAGTAGTTGCCTGCCATGCAGCACCACCTGCTTAAATTAGCTTTGGTCTGGGAGCAGTCTAAATTCTACTAGTCAGAGGATGAAAACTGTAATGCAGCTGTAGTGGTGGAGTTGTGTCCAACATAGAGGGATCAGGTTTGCGGCAAAGAGGTCAAGATTGATACTGTAGAATCCTGAGCTTTGAAGTTTTTCAAGATGCCTTGTCCTTTTGTGGTGCACTGTAAGAAGAGCCTGGCTCTAACTTCTCTATAACCTGGTAGTGCAGCCTCTGTTGTGTCATGTGCGTGAGCCCTGCCCACCTCTGCAGGCTCTCTCCAACTTACTGGCATCTTTTTGTCTCATTGTGAAGTTAATGAATATTGCCAATGAATCTAGAATTTATTTTTGAAGTATTACTGTGTTTCATATAGGTATGTCCTACTGAAGGAAAGAAACATGCTTTTAACTTTAGAACAAGAATCAAAGCGACAGCACAGGCCCATGCCCAGTCCAGAGCGCTTAGAAAAGGTAACCTTTTCCTATGAGCTATGAGTTATGGAATATTTTACTGCCATTATTCCAAGAAATTGCCCTTGAAGATTTCTAGAAACTTATGCAGTTCAAGTTAAACCCTTCTCTGTATTCTTTCATATTTCTTCAGCTTCTGTTGCAAAGACATTTTCTGTCTTCTCCAAACTTGTGTTTTTATTTCTCTGCTGTGCCCTGTTGTCATCATGATTCTGACACTGACGTAATAAATTCATCCCTCTGTATCTTTACTATTGAAAACTTAATTTACTTAGGAATTCATTGTCATTTCTACTTGCACAGCTGTTGATCTCCCCTCTGACCGTCCCGTTAAATAACCGAGCTGTTTGGATGTATAATACATTCTTAGATAGCTCGTTATTTATCCAAATTTATTTTGATGAAACCTGAAAAAGTAAAATCTGCTTCTGTGAGCCTCACACCAAAAGAAAGAGGCAACCAATAAGATTATAAGCAGCAGTTAAGTGATTTGATAGCAATAGGATAAAATATAGCAATCAGCTTATTAAAATTATCCCAGAGAGTTTAACACATGGCCATATGTAATGTATGTTATAGTAATCTTATGTGACAGACTTAAAACCCTTCAACACGAATGTCACAGTTTGGTCAGTGCAGATTTCTAATGAACTAACAGACCCAGAGATTGTAACCAGGCTCTAAAGTGCAAACTATAATAACACACAGGCATCACAGTGCACCTGACAGAGGTATGGATAACCTATCTCCTCTTTGTTTCTCCTGCCTCAGAGCTTTCCATACTTCTGGCATCAGCATTAGAGCCACCATGTAGTCTTTGGGCGTTAGGCAGACAGTTTTTAATGAATATTCAGATGATCAGTTATTTCATCTGTGTTCTACTTGTAACCTAGGCAGCTTTTTAAAACACCTATGCTATAGTATTCCAGTCCACAGTGCTGTAGCTACCACATAGGCCTTGCTAAGATGTTCCCCTTAGTCCACAAATGTGAGGTTACTCATGATGGAACTTCTAATATATCTTACCTATGTCTTTTCTTTAAACTTTGTTTAAAATATCTTCACTTGAGATTCTTTTAAATTGTCAGATTGTATTTCGTTGGCCTATCTTGCAACTACTTCATATTTTCAGGTAGCAAAATCTATGAAAGGAATAGATATGGTTGTCAGAGAAAGAGAAGATGCTTTGAGGCTTCTACAAACTGGTCAGGAAAAGCCAGTACCCGGTGAGTGGAGACACGACTTCTTAGGACGCACTTACTGGTATGGAAAATATATTATTTTTTATATTGGAACTTTTCTTATAGTACTTCACTGTATAGCATAAAACATCCTTCTTCTCTAATCTGTATGTAGAAGGGTGCTTTTTGATAGGTTTTGTTGTTGTAACTCTTGATAAATAATTCTTCACTAAACTCCACCCTTAAATGAAACAGAACTAGTTCCATGGAAATAATACAGTTTCCATGTGGAGAGGATGTCTGTTACTGTGTTGGCTCCCTAACATGTATCCATGCAGCACAGAGTGCTGTTCAGCTTGAGCTGGCTTGGAGGTTCCTAGCATAAGGCAGCATCCACGTGCCAAGGGACAACTGTTGTGACCGCATCTCCCAGAATATTGAGGGGGAGGATATATACATTGGAATTCCCTGCTACTCTTTACAGATACTTAGTTTTGTTAAGCTTAACTTTCTACCTTAAAACTATTTAATGTCCAGATACTTTAAATCTGTAATGGTGATTCTGAGGTCCCTGGCAGGAAGTGTTTTACCCTTACTGTATTGGCATTTGAAGTGGTACTTCTGCAATTTAGCTCAGTAGTTAAAGTGTAGGTAACTAAAGGGCATGTGTTATTGTAATAATCAATTTTAACTCTGTAAATAACTATGGATAATAGAATACCAACTATACTAACCCCTGGATTTATATTTCTGTAGATAAGGCTTCTGTGCTTCTCTTTCCACACGGAAGCTGCCCACAAAGAGGAGTTTGGACACTTACTGAAAGTCCAGCATACAGTTAAAGCAGGGGCTGGGTGGACACCACACAAAAGGGTCTCTGAGCACATGCAGGTAGCTGCCGTGTACATATGATAGCAGATCTGATGGTCTGGATGCAATGCAGACTGGAGGCAAGTCTATGAGCCAAGCAGAAATAAGGGAGTCTTATGCTTAGAGGGGAAATCTTCTTTTGCTCAAGCAGTTTGGCACTTCATGTTACAGTCAAACACTGGCACTAAAATTAAAAGCAGAACCAACTCTGGTACAATTCAAGAGGGAGGATGCTGTATAATGGCTTTAATTTACCTTTAACAGGTATTCTTTCAAGGAGTGGCCAATACCATGGTACTTGAACAAAAAACATAAAAGGAAGAGATTCTTTTACTTACCTCATGTAGAGCGCTTCATCAGGTAAAAAGTTTTCTTTTTTCTGTTATTGAAATTTTCTGATCTTTTGTCATCATTCTCCTTCTGCTTTGAAAAACTGAAAACAAGGCTTCAGTAATCACAGTGCCTGTTTCCCAGGAAATTTGTGAAATGTTTCAAAAGTTAAAATGGACAAAAGCTAAGGATCAGGGGGATTTGCTCTTTTCCCAGAGTAATTAAGGTGTAGCTATTACGTTGCTATTGTAAGAGTCATTTTACCTGGGAAACGCCTAAGGTGCTCCCAAAGCTTGTAACTTCCCAGAGCATTCAAAACCTGCAGACACTTTTTTTTGCAGGCAAAAAACATTTCTGCTCCTCTAAAGCAAATTAACTCCAAAATGAGCCCTTGCTAGGAGCCTCTATTTGATTAGGGGTATGAAACCAGTTTATCCCTACAATCCTTGCCAGCTCTTCTTGTCTAATGACCTCCTACCTTGCCTCAGCCTCCTTCTCCAGCTCTCTTTTGGTAATATCCTGTTTCTGCTCTTTTTTTTTTTTTTTTGTTTGGGACTTTTTTCCCCTCTTCACTCCTGAAACTGCAGCCATTTAACACTGACTGCTCAATCTGTGTCGATCCTAGTTTGAAGTCCTCATTCCACCCCCTGTCAAGTGCAGTATCTGGTAGCATTCCCAATAGATAAAGAGTATCTTTAGTAAACTCAAAGTGGCAAAACTGAAGTAGAACATTACATACTGTTTGGATAAAATAAGCTAGAAAAAAAATCTGGAATATCTAGAATTTAACCATGCTAATGTTTTTATTTTAGGCTCAGACTTGAAAACAACTTACGTAGAAGGGCAAGAAGGCAAAATCTAGAGAAGAAGAGGAAGAAACTTTTAGAAAAGAAGTTCCCTCATCTTGCTGAAGCATCTCAGAGCCAGTAACGTGCTGGAAGAGCACAGCAGCTGCTTGTTTGACTGTGACTGGAACATGAAATGAAAGTTCTGAAGCCAGTGAACAAGTTGACTGAGCTTTCCTGAGAGTTTTTTTTTTTTTTTTTAAATCTCACAAAGTTTGACCACCTTTAAATTGTGATCTAGAATTAAAGAGCAGCTTTGAAACATTCATTAAAATTGATCTTAACAGTTGTTTCTAAAAGCATTTGAAAATCGGTAAATTAAAAAGTGAAGCATATATAACAACAGTAAGAAGCAGCAGGTCTCAGCCAGGTGAAAGTATAAAATGTAGGGATATTTATCCTATTTAACATGCTGCAAGGAATTACACTTTTCTCTGGCTTGGTAGAAAGTGTTCAGTATTTGGCACATGAACATTTAACAATGGAGTCTTTATACCTAGATTTGTAGATACTTGTGTCAAATTCACGTATTTGTGTAATTTTCTTCACTGTGTACAAGTCTGTAATAAGCTTCTGTGAAAGGAAGGTAGAAAAGTAAAAACTCATCCTGCTCACTACTACTATGATGATAAATGTTAAGTTCCGAACTTAGAATAAAGTTGCCTTTTACACAACGACTAGTCTTTCTTGAAGCAAAAGCTCTCTGCAATGTAATCTGCAGAATCCACAGTGGAAACTTTAAGGGAATCAAATAACTGCAGGCTAAATGCACCCTTCCCTTGCTAAACACCACCCATACTCTCTTTACAAACTTAAGAAAACTATTAAGTACTTTGCTCTAGAAATGCTGCTAGAGCATTCACGGATAATATCATAGCGTAATTCTTTTAAGATACAGAAGATAAAAGTTACTGGATGTACCAGACCCTAACATACTCTCTTTACAAACATAAGAAAACTATTAAGTATTTTGCTCTAGAAATGCTGCTAGAGCATCCACGGATAATATCATAGCATAATTCTTTTAAGATACAGAAGATAAAAGTTAATGGATGTACCAGACCCTAAGCCTGACACCGAAGGAAAAACTAAAATGCCCGAGGCAGAGGCGTCCCCCCCAGAGCTACTTTATCTCCTCCCATTGAGCTACAAACTGTATATCACTGATGCCAGGATAACATCATGAAGCATTACACAATTTGACACAGTCCTTAAGTTGGCTGGTAAAAGCTAAGATACAAATACTGCTCACATTCCACCATTCCAACTTTATCTTTCTTGAATGCAACCTAGCCTAAGCCTTATTATTCTCTTATGATGACTATACTATATATACATTTATCTCTATATATGATGACCAACTATAGTTGGTGATTGTGTATGCTAGTAGTGGTCCACTTAAGTTTGCCTCTTTTGGTGAGAAGTGTTTTGGCAGTAACTTTGAAGGCAAGAACAAAGTAATGGTCATCATGGTAGCACAAAAATAGACTTTTGATAAATTATTTTATTGTTCAGAGGTAACACATAGCTATTTTCAAGGAAAAAGCCCATCATTATTAACCAAGGAGTCTTTAGGGTACCCAAAATTTAACAGTATTGTTTACATTTCTTTTTTAACAGTTATAAGCTATTTGGTTTTCCAAAGCTTTTAAGATAACTTAAAACACAGGTTTTAAGCAAAGACTTAATTGTGTCCCCATACAGAACATCACACAGTCATAAAAGCAAGTAAGGTTAACAGCAACATGAAGCTGCATCCTGCCAGCCAGTTTCAGCTGAGAAAAGAAACCCTCCTACCTCCTCTGCCCCTGAGTGCACACTGCCTTTGCAAAATACAGGCACTTACTACCCTGCTCTAAGCCAGCTGAGGGAGCCAAACCAGCAAAAAACAAGTAGGATCTGTCCCTTTCAGGGACCAGCTAGCTGCAAAATGTTAAGCCACATCCTGAGGTCTCCTCTGAGTCTTGTTCTAGTTTTGGAGAGGCAATTCTTGCCTCAACTTCCCTGTCTCTGAAGTGGTGCTTCTCACCTACATCACAAAGGCATTCAGCATATTATATACATTCTTACAGATCAGGTGGAAAGGATTAACTGATTACCAACATGAAATCGCTCCATAACAGCACGACTAACAAACCAGTGCATAGTATAACATTCTCTTAACTCGAATGTGACATTTTCATAAATTTGCACTGAATTGAATCACCTATGGCAAATCAGAAATCCTTTCAACTTTTAAAACAAAGGAGTAACTGTTTCTCTAGTACTCACCAAGCTGCTCAATTGTGGAAGCCAATTTTATTCTTAAGAGGGAAATAAGAGAAATTTAAGGCCAAAACATCAGTGAGGAAGACTAATATGTGAAACTAGATAAGAGATTTTTAATAAGTTTGATGCACAGGCATTCGCAAAGTTAGGCCTCTATCTATTAGCTAACCTGTAAAGCTGTTCACAGGAAAAGATATTAGATAAAATAGACTTTTATACAAAATTATAAAATGCTTGCTATATGAATTATTGCTTTACAAAGGATGTAAACTTCCTTTTTCTATCATAGTACCAATTAGGTGTCCCAAAATTTCTAGCTTGTTAAAATGGAACTTGAGCTATGAAAAAAACAATATAAAATTTCTACAAAAAAAGTCCATCCCATTCCTGAGTCCGCTAAAGCTATAAAAGAGAAGGAGTGACGGGGAGGCAGCAGTTCTCACAGTAAAAAGTTTAAGGGCATTTTCTTTCTACACACTGTTTCCCTCCTTCTTCATATTCTTGTTTAGAAATCCACATCTGTTGAAAAGTACCCTGCAAAAAAAAAAAAAAAAAAAATTAAGACTACATGAAACATTACTAGCTTTTCATAGAAGGAAAAAGAAACAAGCCTTTCCCTAAACGGGGTAGCTAGTGATTAAACTAAAGTTGGAAAGTTGCAGCACCTAAACCTTAATTTCAGCCTCCCTTTCCAAATACTGCTAAATGAGTCTCCTCAAACATCACAGTGCTCAGTAACTTGCACCATTAAGCTCAGGGATATGATATAGCAACAAGTTCGCAATTTCTGTGATATATAACTCGTTACTTCTAGACATCTTATTTCAAGTCTATGCATTGTCCATTAAAAACAGTAGAAAAAATTAATTTATATTTAAAAATCACAATGACTTGGCATTTTCTTTTTTGTTTTAATAGATTTTGCTTTACCTTATACCCAACCACAGGCAAGGACCGTGACTGCCTCAGTAGCACAAACTCTCCAAATCACACACACTCGGAATTAACTTTTTGGGTACCAATTGCTGCTTAGCATAGCAACATAGCAACAGAGATTTACTAACCAAAGAAGCCAAAATGGAACCACCAATCCATGAACTGAACCTCCGTTCCACTGTTGTGTTGTTTGCTATCAATTTCAGGCGCATGCTCTGGATAGAAAAGCATATAAAAAAAAAAGAGCCATCAGAAAAAAGTTGCAGGCTGGAACCCTGAAGAGCCCGAAAAAGACAGCACAAAGAACGAGATGTCTGCACACCAACTTGCAAGGGCATTCACCAGCTCTGCATTTAGAATACAAGAATGGGCCATACACTAACAGAAGCATATGGGGCTTTATGTCTTCTCTGCTAACAGGGACCAGCAGCGAATACTTAAGGTTGAGAACAAGGCAGGTAAAGAGTTACCCTATACAGAGCACAGACTTCTACTTCCAGCCATGGAGTGCCTGAAGTGTACACTGGGACAAAAATGTTTAATACTGTTGAATTTAATTCATCTAATCCCTTTTTAAACCCATTCATTCTTTTTGCTTCTAAAATACCTTGTAGCTGAGTTACATGATTTAAACATAGATTATAATTCTACTGATAGATAATTTCAGTGGATTCTCTCTCATACATGGTAAGAAGCAGTCAATGTCCTGTACCTTTCTCAACCTTTCATAACACTTATGATTTTAAGAGTCCTCATAAGTTGAACATTTTTATTGAATATGAAAATTAAAGAAATCTTGTATTCTATACCAAGGCAAGTTTTCAGCATACTATGTAATGGTATTAATACTTCCCTTTGTACTGAGTACTTTAAAACTTACAAATATATTAAGCACCAGATTTCTCCCAGTAGGATGTTTTGCCTTTACTATCCAGGAAGAACAATTCCTGTTACAAAGTGACAATTTAGTCGGCAGCATCTCAGGAGAGAGACTATCAAGGGAAATAGTGATAGCTGCTTAGGTTCAGTTACAGAATTCAACCCGTTCGAATCACACTCCAAAAGCATGAATGGCAAAGTTCAGTAGGACTTCTGAAAGAAAATCTTCCTTTGTTTATTTAGAAAGGTGAGAGATAAACATACAGCAGAAAAGCAAAATAACAAGTAATGCAAAGCAGTAATTTCCCAATCTGTTTTACCGGTGGAGTTTTCTGAGACAACTCCCTGTTCAATCTGTCTGTAAAACTCTGTATTAGAGTGTTTCCTCCTGCTACAATCACACTGCCATAGAGACCCTGAAAGGAGAATAACAACTCTCAGTATAACTCTGAAAGCATTTTAAAAACAACTGTTTCACAGAATAAAGAAGATTGCTACATAAATCCACATCATTAACAGCAATAATACATCACGGGATGCCCACAATTTTACCTCTACCAATCCAACACTGTTTTGTAACTGCATAAACAAGTATTTCAAGAGAACTTAAACTACACAAGGAAGACAGAGGCAGTATGATTATGTAGAATCTACTATGGAGAATCTTAATCTAGAAACACCTCCTATACCCTAAACTGTTAATTCCCTTATAGCTGGATTTTCCAGTCACAGAGGAAAAAGAACCCAACAGCACTGCAATAGTTTACCAACTAACAGTGCAGTCAGTGAACACAAATCATGGCCGAGCCTACTCATTCATCCTGATATGCTAGTTAAGGGGTCACCTCAATCTATCCATATTGACACCTGAGAAAATGAGAAAAACAAAGATTTAAAGAAGAAACTTTCCCTTTACAGCCTCTCTACTTCTGCCCTCCTTCTGGAAATCAGATATGTGTAAGTTATCTTTAGGAAGCACATCTATCATTCTCGAAACTCCATGAACATAAAAGGATTACAGAAAGGCAATCCAATGCACATTAGCAAGCGCCAGCTATAAAATCTGGATATCAACTAGGTGATAGGTAGAGACACTGACTAAAAGTCAATAAATAAATAAATAAATAAATAAACATTTTGTAGGACAGAAACAGTAATCCTACATGTTCTCACACACAACTACATAATACCTATTTTTCTAGCAAGTTTACAAATATCCTAGAAAATTCACATTCTTCAGCAACAATGTTCTGGCCAAAAAACAAATCGCCACAAAAATATCAATGCTTTAAATAATACAAGTCTAACCAACACTTACCGGCCTGATGTCTATATCACACATTCCAACGCTTGTTGTGACAACATGGCTCACACCCAACATCGTGTTACCAGATAAACCCTAAGACAAAATTCGTAATGTACATGTCATTGCTTCAAAAGAGGAAGGCACATTATAGCTCTGAATATTATTTACTAATGAGGCAGCTAAACATTTCTCAAGGGAGAGGAAAAAACAACACCAACAAAAAACCCTTGTTTCCTATTCAGCCTGTCACCGCTCTTTTCAAACTACATTTCCATCTCTGATACCCCAACTCTAATACTGCCCCACAGCTAAATCTGATGCCCAAGAGAGCCACACAGTGTAAATATATACATCCAAAGCAACAAGTTGAGAACCTTGTACAAAAGGAAGCCATGTGATTAAATTTAAAGCCTTCATATTATTATTACATATCAGTTGTTTTACCTTTACATTGGAAGGGTCAAATAATCCCTCAGGGATTTTTAGACGCTCAGCACCAAAGTCACAGTTATAGCCGTTGGGAAACTCGTAATGAACTGTTGGCATCTGTGCTGCTACCCTGGAGCATTAGTCAGAAAGTAACACAGTAAGATACTGCGGAAATACTATGGTAAGTTATTTAATAATTATCAGCTAAGTTTTCTAAGAGAATATTGTGATTGATATGACTTACACCATTGATAATACTGACATGTGATTTCTTGGAATATCAAAAAGATCTGATCACCTGGATGTATATTATATTCTTACTTCCAGAAATGAATAAATTTTATCTAGCAACTTTCCTCTGTAATACAGCCACCCAAGAGTACATGCACAACTCATTAATAATTTTACAAGGAGGAAAATAAAGACGTACTGTTCATCATAGGTTGAATCCGACACTTGCAGGACAGAAGCTTGAAAGTCCTGAATAACACACTATGGAGATAAGAATAAGAGTCAGTTCTTAATTAAGTTATAGACTTAGATATGTTCACAATCATTTTCCAGGTTTTAGAGGGGAAAATGTGACATATCCTTGCAAACAAAATTTCCTTATAGGCACGTTATACAGGCATGAGAGCAGGAGAAATGACCTACTTACATTACACATGTAGTTGTGCCAAGACCTCGTGACCTGGGGTAACTTCTCTTTTCTCTTCCAATTTGCTGGTGATCCCTCACGAACTGCCTCCTGAGATGGTGGGAAATATGGATTATCAGTTAACTGCTGAGGAACCCCTGCAAAACTAACATTAAAAGTGACTTTCCCACCTTAGAAGCAATCATGTATGGAGGAATTATTTCTATGTTCATTTCCTGAAACAGTTCTCGGCATTGCATAGTAATAAAGTCTCCTGCAAGTGGGGATTTCACAATCCCTAAAAGACAGAAAAAGAAAAATACCTGGAACTCTGAAGTTATGAGTAAGTTCCCCCAACAAATTATTTGTCAGAGAACACTGGTTATTTCCTATTTAAGAGGACACATGCATATTTAAAAACAGTAATGAATCCTTAAAAAAAACAGTAAGAAGACTAACTTATTTTAACACTGCAATGTTGTTAATCATGAATCTTTTACCTTGCTGAAGTACATATCCATCATGCACTGGAATAGCAGTGGTGTGTGTTGCTCCACTATCCAAAATGAGACCTGTCGATCGCCCGTTAGCAAAACTGGCCAAAATGACTAAGGAAAATATTTAAATTTTCACCTATCATAAAATTTGAGTATAACAAAGGACTGCAGTGTTTTACATCCTGGCTTTACAAAGGGACTTACCATTTTCTGGTGGGCATTTTTTTTCTACAAAAGAACACCCGGCCTCACAGAGAGAACAGAATATATCTTCTATCTATAAACTGACTTGAGCTTTGGACATAAAATGATGACAACTCAAGCTAATACAGCAAGGTCCAATAATAAAACAAGCTCCAAGTGCTTCCAGCTCAGTTTCTGAAGCTGGAAACATGTTAAAAACTAGAATAATGGCAGATTTCAACTTCAGGCTATGGGAACTTCAAACTGTAATTATTGTAGCTAGCAGCCAGGACACCATTTCAGATGTTTACAATGAAGAACAGACACTGCCTCCAAAGAACACAGTGAGACTGGGAGGACTTCAGAACCGAGCTCTGAAGTTAAAGTTCAGAAATGGAAATGCATAACTTACTCTCTAAATGTTTATAGAAACATTAATTGGAAAGAAAACAATTTGATATATTTTTACACTAGATGTTACCTAGCATAAGCTTACTTTGTTTTCCCCCTGGAGAAAAAGGCACAACATTCCAAAGGATACGCTGTGAGCACAGCAGTTTTACATAAGAAAAAAGCAGGGATGTTGTAGTGTTCAAACATCAGTTCAGTGAGTTTTTCACGCTTTGCTCTAGTATTCCACTAGAAGGGAAAAGAAAAAAAAAACAAGTGATCAAAGAAAATGTTTATCCTGAGGATCCTTAGAGCGTGCTCAAGGAATGTTAACAAAATGAAATAGTTACAATTATTAGAAGCATGGTTTCAAATCAAATCTAAATTCTACACAGACTGATTGCCAGAATTTTACTTCCTTAGAGCCTTTCCATTCTAATTCTATTAGAAAGAGATTGGTGTTCATCTATTACATAAAATTGAAGGAATAACAACTTAAAAATACAGGACAACCTCCCAATAACCAAGGCTAAAGAGACACACAACTTCACAGTTACACTAGAGATCCCTTCACACTTCTAGAGCTTTTCCAGGATTAGTCTCAAAAAAAAAAAATCTAAAACAAGTATCACATGCATTTTATGGGGGAAAGACAGATGAAATAACTTGTCTGGTTGAAACAAAAATAAATCCAGATTTTCCTGTTTTCAAGGTTCCTTCCTACAGTTCTACTGTACTTATGATTAACTAAAGATCTCTCTCAAGTATTCAGTACATCACTGAAAAATCAAAATCTTCCTCTATGCCAGTGATTCAAAAGGTTAATTCCGTGAGGGGAATTCTAATGGAAACCTCACTGGGGACTTCCATTGAGCCAAACAGGCAATAACCATTTCAAATTCATCCATATTCCATCAAGGCACAAACACCCTCTCAGACGGTGTCTGAAAAACATGGCAGGGGCTGGTGTTGTTTTTGTTTTGAGATACTTTAGCAAGACCAAGAGATATAGTATTAGTTGGCAAGCTAAAGGCAGTGAGAGATTTCCAAGGGCACTTTACTCAATACAACTCTATTGTTCTAACATTTTTTTTTCATTTTTATCCCAGGAAATAAAGTGAAACTTATTTTATTTTTTGCTTCTTTCCAATAAATTAAAAACAATAGTACATGGTAAGTAGTTTCCATGCCTTGTCGTAGAAAGTATTACAAATCAGGGTGTTTTTTAGGCATTTTTGTTAATTAGATTACTTTCTACAGCCTGGAAAAGCTCTTTAAAACTACTGAGTTAAGTTTTAACTTCCTTAGTTAACTTTTAACCCTTGTAATGTACAAACCAGTATCAAATTTGTTCAAGACATGCTTGTAAACTCAACAAGAAGATGCATTTAAGACTTTTCAAAAATGCCAAGTTTACTCACTGGTGCCTCAGACATTAGAACAGGATGCAAACTTGCTTCAGATTTAATATGCATCTTGTATGTGTGATCCAGAATTGCCTGGAAACTATCCCAGTCTTCAACTGTAATAACATTGAAGCAAGCGGTTTAGGTTAACATTTGTTCCACTTCAGGTATAATATCATGCATAATATAACTTCATGATCATAGGAATTATGCTAAAGAATGCTTAAGAATTATGCTAAAAATCTATCAACATGGCAAACCAGCTATGCTCTATGCAACTAGTGTATCAGGTATCTGTTCTAACGTTTTACAGTCTCTGCTTATGCACGTTACAGGAATGAGATTCCAATCTATTTCCACAAAATATCTCTTTCTTCTCTTATCAAATTTTAAAGCTAAGCCATTATTAAGAAAGAACTCCATAGGCCTTCCCTTCATCACACAAATGATCACTGCCATACTGAAATTTGTTTAGGAAAAGCAAATCTTTTACTTTTAAGTCCTGTTCTTCATGTCCCTCCTCCCAAAACACTTCAGTGTACCACAATTTTGAATACAAAACCTATGATCTCTTGCAACCTAAGAAATGCTATTTTAAGAGCAGAAAGAAAGAGACAGAGCACCATACTCATTCCATTTTTTAGGGGTGAAATGGCCTCCATGTTTTCCCGTGGAACTCTCAGGGCATTGGTGTCTATGTAGTAAGTCGGGCCCCCTTGTTTGCCTTTGTCACCATCTATCTCCATCAAAGTGCTGCCGTTGTCCCTTTCCAGCACCACACCAATAGCTGTGGGAAAGTCAACCTGTAGGCAAAAGGCGGACGCTTCATGAGAACTAGCCATGCTCTGGGAGGATTTCTCATGCAATTCAGGTCTTTCATTACAGAATATAGTAAAAATAAAGCCCCCCAACATACTCTTTAAATCCATCAACTAAGAGTATTCAGGGTCCTGCTGTTGCGAATGGTCCTAAGACAAGCTCTAAGTTTTATGCTGCATTTCCACCACCCAGATCCTCACCTTTGGGCAGTCTTCGCCCGCGTAGCCCGCTCTGACTGTGTACGAGCCGATGTCAAACACGAGCGCCCCGACTTCATCTGCAAACACAGTTAGCACGGGGGTAACCAGCGGCAGTGACACCCTCACAACCCTGTCCCCATGTCCCCCATCCCGGTGTCCCCGGTCCCTTGGGCCGGCAGGGAAGGAGGGAGAGTCGAAGGACATTTCCAACGCGTCCGTAAACTTCTCTGCTCACACACCAAGTCACTGGAGAGCCGCCAAGGCGCTTCAGCAGGGACGAGGCAGCAAATCGCTTCCCGTGAGGTAAAAAAACGGCCGCTTTGGCGGGAGAGAGAAAAAATAATAATGTGC